TCCGTCCCCTCCGCACCGGCTCTGGAGCCCTCCTGGGTGCCACGTTGGAAAAGCCTCTTCCCTGCGGGCCACCCCGAGCCAGGGCCTCCTTTCCCCCTTTATTTTCCCACCCTGTCCCATTCCCTGCTCACCGGCCGCTGTGTCCCCCGCGCTGCCAGGACCAGCTCCAGCAGAAGATCATCTGCCCGGGGCCCGTGACCTGCCTGACGGCGTCTCCCGACGGCCTCTACATCCTGGCGGGCATCGCCGAGAGCATCTACCTGTGGGAGGTGAGGAGGCCGCGGGGGCACCGCGCGTCCCCGCGCTGGCACCAAACGCCTCTTGGGACACCAAAACGCGCTCGCTGCAACTGCTGAGACTCTGCAGTTTGTCCTGTCCGTTTGTTCCGGGTCCAGGTGGCCCCTGTTCCCGCTGGAGCGGCTCCGGCTCCAGCGGGGACAGGGGGTTTTCCTACCATAATCCCCGCTCCGGCCCTTCGCGTTTGCCTCGTGGCTTTGTGTTTAATCGTGGCTGCCTTCTGGCAACTCGTTGGTGCTGTTTATCCCGGTCTCGCGATAAAACGGGGAGTCTGTTTGAAATCTCCTATGAATGATTCCAAATTACGCGTGCGTAAAGGGAGATTGGATCCCAAGAGGGTGCAAAATCCTAGCAGCGCTGGTGAGGAGGAGGAGGCTGGTGTTAGATGAAGGATCCGCTGGCAACGTGGAGGTTGCATCCCGCCCCGTTAGCGGGTGCTCCCTGCCCGTTGTTTGTGCAAAGACTTCTGTGTTGTGCAGTTCACAACTGCTGCAGTGGCTCTGGGCTGCTGCGAGGGGCCGGGACACAACATTCCCATGGGAATTGTGCTTGGGGCATCTCCAAAAGCTGCTGGATTGCCACGCCGTGATCGTCATCCTGGTTTTATGTAGCGTTTTTATTTAAGTGGGGCTCACAAGATGGTCTAAGCGCTTCACCAAGCAGCTAAAAAGCGCAGCTGGTTTTTAGCTTGGGTTTAGACACAAGATGTCTAACTTGTAAAGCTCTCAATCTTGGGGGGTGCTTCTGAGGCTTATTATGTGGGCGGCTCTATCTTAATTCATCAGATCTTTCTTTTTAAAATGTGCTCGTGGCAATGTTGGAAAAAAACCCACCTCAGTCGGAATGCTGGGGCCGACGCTGCAGCGAGGAGGAGGCTCCTGCCCGTGGTCTCTGCTCTGCCTCATCTGCAAAACTTGGCCCTTTCTGATCCCTTCCAGCCGGTCTCATCCGCAAACGCTCCGAGCGTCCGGCTGGAGCAGGCGAAGGCACCGTCCTCCCGGCCGAGGAAACGGGAACATTAGGCTGCATCAATCCATCCTAGAGCTGGAAGTGGCTTCCAAGAGCCCTCATTTTACACCTTCTTTGTGCAAACACCTATTCTCTATTGAACTGTTTTATTTTTAGGTGTAATTCAGATGATGAGGGAGTTGATTCTGCTCTTTGTATGGGCCTCCCTCGCTGCCTCCTGCTTCCCTCCCTATCTGCAGTGCTGCCTCTCCATGGGAAAAGCTCCAGGTTTAGGGAACCCTCTGTGCTCAGGTCCCAAAGTCTCTGGTGACTTGAGCCTTGCTGAAATGCAGCTACCTGTGGAGTGCAAGCAGCCGCCTGCAGAGCATCGCATTGCTCGTATAGAAATAAATAATATTTAAAATATTATTACAAAATAATGTATTTAAATATATTAAAATATGCAAAAATAATTTCTAGATTATAGCCATTGTATTTATGTAGTTTCTTTTAATATCCCGGTGTCCTTTCCTTTATCCTAGGTCTCCAACGGGAACCTCTTGGCCATCCTCAACCGGCACTACCAGGACCTCACCTGCCTCTGCTTCACTGACGACAGCAGCCACTTCTTGTCGGGAGCCAAGGACTGCCTGGCTCTGGTGTGGAACCTCTACAGGTAACGGCGCCCGCAAGCAGCTCCCGGCGCCCGCGTGCCGGGACGGAGCGTCCGGACGAGGCGCGTGGACACGGGAGCTCGGCTGCCCCCTCCCTGGACAGTCCTAAGCCAGCCCTGAGCGATGTCTCAGCTGTCCTTAAAACCCACGGGTGATGATGTGTCCGGCCCTTCTTCAGCAGTGTCTTCCAGTGTTGTTATCCTTAGTGCTAGGGGGATTTTCCTACTGTCTCGTGTGAATCTCCCCAGCTGTAGCGTGAGCCTCTGACTTTCCCACAGTGGATTATAGAATCATGGAATGCTCAAGGTTGGAAGGGACCTTAGAGGTCATCTAGTCCAACCCCTGCACACGCAGGGTCACCTAGAGCACGTGGCACAGGACTGCGTCCAAGCGGGTTTGAAGATCTCCAGAGAAGGAGACTCCACAACCTCTCTGGGCAGCCTGTTCCAGTGCTCTGGCACCCTCACTGTGAAGAAATTTTCCCTTAAGTTCCTGTGGAAATTCGGGTGTTTCAGTTTGTGGCCATTACCTCTATTATTCCCTTCCCCTTTGCAGTGGTCTGTTGTGCAGGCAGTTCTCACTCTCCTTCCTCAGCTACGTACCTCAAGGGAGGTAGTGAGGAGGATGGTGCCGGCCTCTTTTCATTGCTGGCCACCGACAGAACTAGAGGTAATGGCCACAAACTGAAGCACCTAAAGTTCCGCATGTGTGCAGGGGGTTGGACTAGGTGACATCTAGAGGTCCCTTCCAACCTTCAGCACTCTGTGATTCTATGATCCTAATGGCAGCTGAGGTCGCCCTCTCCGTGTCCTCGGGGACAGGGACCTCAGCAGCAGCCCCCAGCCTCTCTACGCACTGTGGCCGGTGACAACTTCCGCGCCGGTCGATTCCCGTCCCCGGCAGGGCCGTGCGGAGGCAGCGGAGCCTCGCGAGCCCTCGTCGCTCCCCCGCGGGGTTCATCTTCCCCTCTGTTCTCTCCCCTGCAGCGTGTTGCAGACGGAGCCCTCGCAGATCCCTGACCCTCGCCACGTGTGGTCCCGACACAGCCTCCCCATCACCGACTTGTGCTGCGGCTTCGGAGGGCCCTTGGCGCGAGCAGCCACAGCCTCCCTTGACCAGACAGCCAAGGTGGGTCTCTGCGCAGGCCCTGAACCTGCACGAATAAGCACGTGTGCCAGGGGGTTGCAAGCCCCGTAGGGTTAAAAAAATAAATTACCTCCGCTGGGCTGCAGCATAGCTGCCCGTGAGGGCTGCATAGCACAATTTCTTGGCTGTCCCTGTAATGACTCAGAGCTGCCAGGGCCCAGCTCCTCCAGCCAGGGTCCACGGCAGGGCTGGAACTTCTCTTCTCCTGCCCTGCAGGCAGGGATCTGTGGGATCTGCCCCAGGAAACGGGGTGGCACGGGGAAGTTCAGCGCTATTCCACAGTTGCCGGGAAAATCTGTTGTATCATGGTCAAAGTGAGGCTGATCCTGGGTTCTCTGCTCATTCTGCCTTTGCTTTTGCACGTGACCGTGGGCAAGCCAGCTCATGCCTCAGTTTCCCTGCCCAGAGTGAGGAGGTGCTGGTTCATGCTGGTACATGGCTGAGAAGCAAAGTGTTGTTCTGACTGTGCAGCCCTAATTTTCCTTTATCCTCTCGCTCCAGCTGTGGGAAGTCTCCTCTGGAGAGCTCCTCCTTTCTGTCCTCTTCGACGTGGGGATCATGTCTGTGACTCTGGACCTCTCTGAGTATCACATGTTCTGCGGTGGCATGGACGGCTCCATCTTCCAGGTTGACCTCTGTGCCTGGGTGAGTGATGGGGGCCGCAGTCCCCCTCGGTGCTGCCCTCCTGCAGCTCAGTGTCCTGTGGAACTGTCACCCTCCTTGCCTGGAACTGGTGTGATCTGCCAAGATGTCACCACAGGGCAGCGAGAGGGGTTTCCAGCAGCGATGAGGGAGCCTAGGGCAGGAGAGAGGAAAC